CCCATCACCAATCCCCACTCCTCCACCAAGCTCACCTCTATCCTGCCACTCCCACCTCAAAATAACACACTGGGAGACAAGATGGGGTCATTGCAATAGGATACTGGAGAGTGCCTGGGTCATTGTGGGACACAGAAACAAACATTTATCAGTGTTATCCTGTTCCAATCCAACATAGTCAGACTCACAGCGGCCTTAGCTGTGCCACAGGTTAACAAGATTAGAGATTGCAGTAGGAGGCAGAGTTCCTAATTTGTATCTAATCGTAATTATCTGGAGCAATATTTCATGTTTCAAGTTGAACGGAAATAGTTTCTGTCTCGAACCATATGTTGCATTCTTTAATCGATGATGGGGAACGTCTGCAATGTAATACACTCACATAATGTTTGACAGTCTCAACTCTCAGAGCCTTTTGGCCTCTCCACCCTTTCATAGTTAAAAAGATCTAGAAATTCAAAGTTTTGATATTCTTTTCATGCATCCTGGACTAATTTTATTGTTGCTAGAATTTTCCCTCTGTCCACTGCCTTTCTACATCCTTGGGGGTCACTACATACTGTAAATTATCTCAGTAAACATTTTAATTTATAGTTAACTTTACATAGAAATGTAGAAAATAGGAGCAGGAGTAGGCCATTCAGCCCCTCGAACCTGCTCCCCCATTCACCATGATCATGGCTGATCATCCAACTCGGTCACCTGTCCCTGCTTTCTCCCCCATTCCATTTGATCCTCTTAGCCCCATAATTCATATCTAACTCCTTGAAAACATTCAAAGTATTGACGTCAACTGCTTTCTGTGGCAGAGAATTCGACAGGCTCCCCACTCTGAGATTGAAGAAATCTTTCCTCATCTCAGTCCGAAACAGCCTCCCATATAAACTGTGACTCCTGGTTCTGGATTCCCTGGAACACCGTTCTTGCATTTACCCTGTCTAATCCCAGTAGAATTTTATAAGTTTCTATGAGAACCACCCCGCACTCCCTGAGGAATCAGTCTGGCTAACGTTTGCTGCACTCCGTCCAGAGCCCAAAACAAAATTCACTAAATATATACTGTACATCTGATTGTTCATTTTGAGCTGTGTTCTTTCAGGTGAAAACCACAGCGATCTGACAGATGAACCCACTATCTTTTTTTCTTTAAGAATTAGAATTAGCTTTATTGTCACACGCACTTAAATGTGTGCAGTGAAAAGTGTGCAAGTCGCTGTTTGTGGCGCCATCTCAAGTACAAAGGTCCCTAGGTACAGCTTTTCCAGGAACAGTTCTTGGAAAAATAGAGAAGTAAAAAAAGGTCCAGCAATGCAGATTTAGGAATGAGTTGTAAAATAGAGACAAAAAGGTACAGAGAAACGGTGTTCCCGCCCAGCCCACCTAGCCTCCAGTCTGCACTGGGCTTCGATCCAGACTGTGCCTGGCTTCACAAGGCTGGGAGATTGTTCTGGAATCACCTCGAGACTGGAGGTCCACACCGAGACCGTGCCAGGCCGAAAGACCACCAAGCTTTTAAAAAAAATCTCAAGGTTTTAACAAAAAACGTACTTGTTCACGGGATGTCAGGATCGTCATTTGTATTTATAATCCTTCCTTAATCGCCCTGGAGATTAAATCCAGTCATTAGTATCACGACTGTTTCAGAGATGAATAAATAGCTGTGCGCAGCAATTGGTGGTGACTGCCTCCTGAACTGCTGTAGTCCATGTGCTACAGCACTCGGAGGGACGGAATTCTAGGATTTTGACCCAGTGACATTGAAGGAACAGCAATATATTTCCAAGTCAGGATGGTGACTCTGGGGAAAATCTGACTCATTTATCTTCTACCCTTGCTCTTTGTGTATCAGAGGTGCCTCTGTCTGTCTGTCTGTATTGTGTGCTTTATTTGCTGTGTCTAATGAACATTTGTTGTCACAGCTAACACTGCTGCTCTCTCCTCTCTGATCCACAATACAACACAACACATCTCTGCTGTTTGACAAAACAGCATGCAGCAGTTGAGGTGAGGAGCATAGCTATATTTAAAGGGTGGTGTTTAAGTGCAACATAAAGTTGTCACAGTCCCGGAGGACCACTTTCATTACAGACACTAGAAGGAAGTTTAACCTGAGGGTCACCATGTCTCAGTAGACGGCTGAGGCTGGGAAGCCACAATCCTGCATGGTAACATCGGCTGGTACAAGAGTTGAACCCATGCTGTTGGCATCACTCTCCAATGCCAAACAGCTTCCAGTCAAGTTAGCTGAATGACCTCCACTGTGCCTATCCTTTACTTCAGTGTACATGGGATAGAGGGATAAATGGTTGGCTAATAGGAAAAGCTGAAGTAGGCTTGGAACAGACCAACTTTCCCCAAAATGCTTTTCATGTTGAATGGTCCGTTTCAGTGCTGTAAATTCTAGGCAACACTCACCTTGCCATTCTCCAGCTAAAATTCACCCTCACTTAGGATTTCAGCATTGCTGCCTGTTTGGGAGACAGGCTAAATGACTCGTTATAAATTTCATTTGATTTTACCTTTGATTTTGTGGGTGTACCTTCTCCAGAACACGGAGCCATTTTCCCAACTGGTTCAATGCTGAATGCACGAGCAAATCGTGATGCCTGGAGAATTGCTGCCACCTCTTCGTCCACAGTTATCGCCTCACCTTCCTGAGCAACAGGAATTCAAAAAACAAAATTCAATTCAGAAGGAGCTGAAAAGGCAGTCATGAGGCAAGCCCTACCATCTCAAAACCTCGCTACCACAGCAAGTGGGTACGGGAAATAAGGTCAGATGGTTTACAAAGGACACAGGACGAGGCCATGGGGAAAAGGAGGTTCTGCAAACCATGATCAAGTGGATAGAATGGGGGAAGACTCAGCTAGTTTCTATGCACATTTTCTAAGTGATAAGCACCTTACAGTCATAGAAATGTACAGCACAGAAACAGGCCCTTCAGAACTCGTCCATGCTGACCAGATATCCTAAATTAAACTAGTCCCATTTACCAGCATTTGTCCCATATCCTGCTAAACCCTTCCTATTCATGTACCCATCCAGATGCCTATTAAATGTTGTACCTGTACAGCCTCCACCACTTCCTCTGGCAGCTCATTCCATACACACACCACCCTCTGCCTGAAAAAGTTGCCCCTTAGGTCCTTTTCAAATCTTTCCCCTCTCACCTTAAACCTACGCCCTTTAGTTTTGGACTCACCTGCCCTGGGGAAAAGACCTTTGCTATTCACCCTATCCATGCCTCTCATGATTTTATAAACCTCTATTAGGTCACTCCTAAACCTCCTGTGTTCCAGTGAAAACAAACCCAGTCTATCCAACCTTTCTTCATATCTAATGCTCTCCATACCAGGCAACATCCTGGTAAACCTTTTCTGTACCCTCTCCAAAGCATCCACATCCTTCTGGTAGTGTGGTGACCAGAACTGCACAGAATATTCCAAGTGTGGCCTAACTAAAGTTTTATAAAGCTGCAGCATAACGTGTCTATCCTTATACTCAATGTCCCTTCCAATGAAGACAAGCATGCCATAAGCCTTTTTTTAACTACCTTATCTACCTGCGCTGCCACCTTCAGTGATCTGTGGGCCTGCAAACCCAGATCCCTCTGCGTATCAATACGCCTCAGCATTCATTGTCCATCTAGAGACAGAGCTCAATAAAACATATATTAAAAAAGTTCACACTACTCACTATAACAGATTTACAAAAAAAAAAAACAGGGTATATTTAGGATTTTAAAAAAATAAATCACTTAGCTGGTCCCCTATTATGAGGAGCTCCCATTATTGTATTTCTCCAAGGTCAGCTGTGAATTTTCCTGTTAGTTTATTTTTCTTAGACTGAGCTCAGATATCCAGAGATACCTGACACTAAACAGCAGAGACAGTCAGCTGTGAAGGCCCACTGTCTGGTCAGTTCACTGCTCCTTCTTGGAATTTATTGGTTTTGAGCTGTCTTACACCTCAACAGCTTGGTTTCATAAGATGTGGGCACGGCCAGCATTGGTTGCCAATGTTCAGCTGCCCTTCAGAAGATTGAATGGATCTGAACGGCTTGCTGGACCCACTTCAGAATGAAGAACTAAGCACATTATTGTGGGTCTGTGAGTCACATAGAGGGTCCAATGGGTAAAGATGGCAAACTGTCTTTCATTGGGAATTTGTGACCCAGATGGGTTTTTAGTTTCACAATCACCATTACTGATTCTAGCACATGTGAAAATTCTAGATTTTGATTTTTTTTTGTAATTTAAAATTCCTCAACTATCCTCATTCAACTTGAACTCATACCTCTGGGTTCCCCTAGGCCCTGGGTTCTCAGTCCAATGGCCCCTGAGCATTCTCAGTCCAGTCCTTTAGTGATCGGTTAGCTCAGATGGCTGGACAGTTGTTTTGTGAGGAATTACACCATCAGCGTGGCTTTAACTCCCGCATCAGCTGAGGTTACCTTCTCTAAATCTAACCCTCTCACCTCAGGTATGGTGACCTTCAGGTGAAACCACCACCAGTTGTCTCTCCCTCTCTCTCTGAGAGTAGCCCAGTGATCCTCTGGAATTATGAGGACTTTTACCAGTGGCGTCTGATTTCCCAGTTCAGTGACCATGTTATCGTACCCTCTCGGATAATCAAAACCGTTTCTAGTTGTAAATCTTGAACAGATTGGGATTTGAAACCTGAGCTTTACATTAAAGGTGTAGTTGACATCAAACTCCAGCTTTTCTTTAAAGCTTCTGATTGATCCATTGTACGTTACGCAGCATTTTTCTTTCGGACAGCTGGCTGGGATTTTAAACAATCGGTACGTGGCAGAAACAAACTTGAAGTCTCCTAAGAGGAGAGAAAAGAACACTTAAAATGGTCTGAAGCAAAAATTACAACAATCACCTCAGCTGGAAACTGAAACTTAAAATCAAAATTTTCTACCACTTTACTGTGACATAAATTTGAATAATGAGCACATTGTGACAGCTGGAAGATTTAGGAGGTGATGAGCATACATTAATCTGTGAGAGTGGTCAGCTTTACTAGAGAGAGAGAGAGAGAGAGAGAGAC